GTTCCCTTGAAATATCTGATAATATTTCATGTTTTCGTGTCTTTGTCCTGTACAAATCAATGCAAAGTTATACTATTTGATGTTTTCCGTACTTTGTCCTGTGCAAATTGATACAAAGTTATACCATTTGATGTTTTCACGACTATGCCCTGTACAAATTGAAACAAAGTTATACTATTTGATGTTTCGCGACTATGCCCTGTACAAATTGATACAAAGTTATACTATTTGATGTTTTCGCGACTTTGATCTGTACAAATTGATACAAAGTTATTCTTATTTTATGATTTTCCTACTTTGTCCTGTACAGGTTCATACAGTGTTACAAATAATGTGTTATCACTATATGTAAACCACAAGTCGACAGAAATCTTTTTAATACTAATACACTGTTATCATTTTCCTGACATCTCGCTTATCTGTCCTGTACATGTTTATACAAGATTATGTTTGATGTTATCTCCGAAAAGTTCAAAACAGGTTTGTCCCGGTATTACATGTAAAGGAGAGTTTACAATATCACGCCAATTTGTCATAGTGGAAGATTTATCACTGTTAGTTTTAAATGAAGTTAAATCAAAATGCACAATGATGGTTTAAAATAAGCAATCAAACGAAACATGCCGTTGAATCAATATTCCTGGAAACTTATACGTATCTAAACTATTTATACGCTTTCTTTTTTAATTTCCTGGAGATGTGATGAGAGATCCCAATGAGATTACTCACCGATAAACGATATATACATGTCCCCACTTGATATCGCCGCGTTGAAGTGAAGGCAAAGTGCAGTCTAAGTGAAGACGAGACAGCCACGTCATACTCTATCTTAGCTATCATCATATCACATACTGTAGCCTGTACTCAGGATCATTGTATTGTGTATATTCAGCCTGATTTTCCCCCTTATTTAAATAATATATACGCAACAGATACACATGAGACGAGGTATGACAGAAACATGTAATGGTTACGGTGAGTGTTTGTAAGCAGACTTAGTCTGGAAAAACCAGGGGATACCAGACTTCTATCTACAGAACTAAATGTCTTACAAATCGTCGTGGGTTTATAACTATCAGTTCGTCCATAGTAAGGAATACCATTCTACACTGTAAGTACCAGTTTGTCATTCCAGTAGCCAGTCTGTGAAGTCACGTTGATAGCTGATTCACTGTTCTTTATATATTACATAACACAATATAAACATGCTTGCAGTGTTATAGACAACTGATGTAGAGGCCCTGTACAATCGTGGTTTGTCTGTCCTATTATTAGGTCTGTCCTTTACTTAGGTCTGTCCTACTAAGGTCTGTCCTCGACTTAGGTCTGTCCTCTACTTAGGTCTGTCCTCTACTTAGGTCTGTCCTCGACTTAGGTCTGTCCTTTACTTAGGTCTGTCCTCGACTTAGGTCTGTCCTTTACTTAGGTCTGTCCTACTTATGTATGTCCTCTATTTAGGTCTGTCCTCTACTTAGGTCTGTCCTCTACTTAGGTCTGTCCTATTTAGGTCTGTCCTCTACTTAGGTCTGTCCTTTACTTAGGTCTGTCCTACTTATGTATGTCATCTGCTTAGGTCTGTCCTATTTAGGTCTTTCCTCTACTAAGGTCTCTCCTACTTAGGTCTGACCTCTACTTAGGTCTGTCCTACTTAAGTCTGTCCTCTACTTAGGTCTGTCCAACTTAGGTCTGTCCTCTACTTATGTATGTCCTCTAATTAGGTCTGTCCTCTACTTAGGTCTGTCCTCTACTTAGGTCTATCCTCTACTTAGGTCTGTCCTCTACTTAGGTCTGTCCTTTACTTAGGTCTGTCCTCTACTTAGGTCTCTCCTCTACTTAGGTCTGTCCTCTACTTAGGTCTGTCCTCTACTTATGTCTGTCCTCTACTTATGCCTGTCCTCTACTTAGGTATGTCCTTTACTTAGGTCTATCCTACTTAGGTCTGTCCTTTACTTAGGTCTGTCCTCTACTTAGGTCTGTCCTACTTAGGTCTGTCCTTTACTTAGGTCTGTCCTCTACTTCGGTCTGACCTCTACTTAGGTCTGTCCTCTACTTAGGTCTGTCCTCTACTTAGGTCTGTCCTCTACTAAGGTCTATCCTCTACTTAGGTCTGTTCTCTACTTAGGTCTATCCTCTTCTAAGGTCTTTTCTCTACTTAGGTCTTTTCTCTACTTAGGTCTGTCCTCTACTTATGTATGTCCTCTATTTAGGTCTGTCCTCTACTTAGGTCTGTCCTCTACTTAGGTCTATCCTCTACTTAGGTCTGTCCTCTACTTAAGTCTATCCTCTACTTAGGTCTGTCCTCTACTTATGTCTGTCCTCTACTTAGGTATGTCCTTTACTTAGGTCTGTCTTACTAAGGTCTGTCCTCTACTTAGGTCTATCCTCTACTTAGGTCTGTCCTCTACTTAGGTCTATCCTCTTCTAAAGTCTGTCCTCTACTTAGGTCTTTTCTCTACTTAGGTCTGTCCTCTACTTAGGTCTCTCCTCTACTTAGGTCTGTCCTTTACTTAGGTCTGTCCTCTACTTAGGTCTGTCCTCTACTTAGGTCTGTCCTCTACTTAGGTCTGTCTTAAAGGTCTGTCCTACTTAGGTCTGTCCTAAAGGTCTGTTCTACTTATGTCTGTCCTACTTAGTGTCCTACTTCGGTCTGTCCTACTTAGGTCTGTCCTCTACTTAGGAAACACTGAAGAAACCAAAATGGATCTGCTGCCCCCTTTGTAACATTTGCATCTGTATCGCTTTTTTCTCATTTTTAGTTCACCTGGTCTGAAGGACCATAATTTATATAATGAGCTTATGTCGTGGCGCAGCGTCAGTCGTCGTCCGTCGTCGTCGTCCGTCGTCAAGTTTTTCTTTAAACCCTATCTTCTCCTAAACGCCAAAGAGGATTTCAACCAAATTTGCTCTGAAACTTCATTGGGGGAGGGCAATCATTTTCGAAATAAATGAAGTTGGTTCGACACCTGAGAACAGGAGGGTGGGGCCCTGAAGGAGAAATTACATAAATTTGCTTTTAAATACATCTACTCCTAAAACCAGGGAGGATTTCAACCAAATTCAGTTTGAAGCATCAGTAGGAAAGGGCAATCATTTCTAAAATAAATGAGGTTGGTTCAACCCCTGAGGCCAGGGCGCGGGGGCCTGAAGGGGACCTTAGCTAAATTTGCTTTAAAACGCATCTCCTGCTAAACGACAGAGAGGATTTCAACCAAATTTAGTCTGAAACACCGGAAGTGCAATCATTTCTTAAATAAATGAGGTTGGTTAGACCCCTGTGGCCAGGGGGTCGGGGCCTTGAAGGGTAACGCATTTCCTCCCAAACACCAGAGACCATTTTAACCAAATTTGCTCTGAAACGTCATGTGGGGAGGGCAATCATTTCATAAATAAATGAGGCTTGTTCGACCCCTGGGGTTCGGAAGGCCGGGTCCCGAATCGGAAAATTTTCTAATTTTTGCTTTAAGACGCTAATACCCCCAAATTGCCTGAGTGGATTGTACAAAATTTGGTCAAAAACATTATTGAGGAAGAACAAACATTTCTTATTTGAATGAGGTTGATTTGACGCCTGCGGTCCTAAGAAATGGTACAGCTAGATTATCATATTCTATGGTGTAGTTTTCATAAATTGTTGAAAATTGGTTTCTAGGTTTATTAAAGCTTATAGCTGAATGAAAATTATAAAGTATTGTCTAATTACACCCTCTAATATGACATATTACTTATTTTAAAATCTGATAACATGACAACTCAATGGATAGATTATCATAGTTGAAAGTCAGATATTGTGGTCCCAGTTGGGTTAGAACATAGATCTTGTCTGGTTTTGAGTAATTTCATATAAAGATGTACTAATGCATTCAGTTGTAATGACTTATATATAAAACCAGGTGAGCGATACAGGTCCAATGGACCCCTTGTTCACTTTTCGGTATAGTCTCCCTCGGCACCCGTCCTCATTAGATATTGCCTATTGTAATGATGTTAAACCAAATACACACAAACAGTATAAACATATTGTATACTCCATTTCATATAAAGCAATCTACAAACACGCAATCAGTTATTCTTGATTTTGCTCGGTTAAGGACTTTCGTTAAGTTGAATATGTGGTTTTATGAACATGTGAAAGCGACAGTGATTGTCAGCAAATGGTCGAGATCAAAGTACCGCATTTAGTATAGGTCATCGTGACAAAAACAATTGTAGTGATGTCATAATGAGAATGTTAATCTGATGTTTCTTAAAATAGTAACACCATGTCAATATCACATATAACCAAACTTGATTATGATTCAACCAATCCCAATCCAATGAAACTGTAGGGAGAAAATAGTGTCATCTAATTCACCACAATATAATTCACATCATGCGTGTAATATTGTATAATAAATTATATAATTGTGTATGTTTTTAAAGAATATCAATGCGTCGACAAAAATCATAAATCGATAGCAAACTAAGGCAAAATATGAACAGGGAAAAGATTAACATTGAGACAATAATCAAAAGAAAAATTACAAGGATAATAAGACCAGGTGATCCGGTAAGATAAGCGTCTTCTGCTTTTTTGTAACTTGACATAATCGCATACTGTATGTTATAAACTGATCGTTTTGTCTACCGGTAGGCTAATATGTGAACCAGAAGCCTGATGTTTGAACAACAGGCTTTTAACAAATAATGACAATATCAACCTCTTAGGTTCCTTGTGATAAGGTCTTTATTTGAATAACGAATAATTCACTAGATTAGATAGACCATTCAATATTATCATTATATTATTTCGCATTAAATCATTAAATGACACATAACACGGATTTTTTTTATACTTTAAACAGCTTTATGAAACAGTATAAACAGAAATGGGCAACAAAGTTAAACAGCACTACCAGATTGATGAAATGTTTGTGTGTTACGTAATATTTCAGTATATCATTAAAGTTCATCTCACTGTAACACTTTCAATATCAATGTTTATGTTCTGTTTTTTATTTCAGACCAATACATGAAAAATGTAATTTCTCAGGATGAGTGACGGGTCGACCAGAAGTGATCATGGGGGGTCAAGAGAGGTCAAACTCCTATCAACAATAGGTAAATTATTTACTGAATGCGTTATTGATATGGGAGGGTAGGAGAGTTAGTCAGTTTGGTATCAATAATAAAGGTTTAGTTTGTTTTGAACAGCTTACAAAATAAACAGTTCCTCTTTCTGTTCAAATGAAACTAAACCTTTACAATATGTGAATAGTTACTAGATTCCATAAGACCAGGAAACGGTTCTCTCCACAATAATTATAACACATTAAAGCATTCAAAGAGCCAGGAAAAGACATTTTATCTCTCCACAATAATTATATAAATAGGATTGATTTAGACCAAGAAAGATATCATTTATCCCACAATCGTTAACAGACAGGTATGTACAACAGTATATAGTTTAGGGACGACAAAGCAGATAACAATGCTATTGACAATGGCTTTGTCCAAGAGACGGTACCAAGTAATGGCCAGTGACCAATTTGGGAACTACAAAACAGAAAATAATTTTGACTACAGTGTGAATGGTTTAGGGACGAACCGGGTAACAGTATCTAACTATATACGAGTGGCATTTACATAACAAAGTCATTCATTGTCATGTACTGATTTTGAATTCCTCATGTAAACATAAGAATACACCCAACTATTGTCCACCGCTGTATAGTACTAAATAACCTTGGCCATATACAGGACAATGTATCATCTTGTCGTTACGAAATCCTCATGCTACACATGATACTGTTTATTTTTGGATGATTTGGCAAAAGTCCAACATTTGGAAGACTTGCTGTTTCGAAATTAAACCAATAATCATGTACATTTGTATATAATTTGTTGTAATAATATTTGATTTACTTAGAGATATGATCACATAAATGCGAAGTGAGGAAACATCTACATAAAATCTTGCTTAGTCTTGCAGAAAATACTTTGCTGTCCCTAATCAGTGACAATAAAGGTCAAAAATATTAAACATCCGTGTCTTAAGTGTTTCGAATTTTATGTAGAAAAAAGGGATAAGCTGTCGATAAAACCCTCGGGCTGCAGCATGTAGTTAATTTGTGGTTTATATATGAATGAGGACTCGCTACTCGGAATTAATGATTGACTTTATTCTTACAGGAGCAAAAGACTTAGTAAAACTTGGTCACGTGACTAAGAGCGGGTGGCTGAAACGGAAGACACTGCCAGGAAATAAGAGGCTGTCTATCGGCACTATGACCTGTACGTCTGTCATAGTACATTACTTCTTATCTATAATAAACAAATGAAGTCGCATTTTAACTATGGTAATGATGACAGTTAAACTGTGGTAATGATGTTAGCCTAACTATTGTATCATTGGTGTGGTAATGATGTTAGCCTAACTATTGTATCATTGGTATGGTAATGATGTTAGCTGAGCTGTTGTATCATTGGTGTGAAACTGATGTAAGTGTCACTGTTGTAATGCAAGTTTCATGCCGATATAGTGTAAGGAATTTTATAAATTATATAGTAACAATATCAGATAAGTTGTGGAAATAATTTTAGTTTGACGAAGTGGTAATGTGTGACGTGTTGGGTATATGTGGGTACGTGCCTTTTGAATATTTGTGACGTGTTGGGTTTATGTGAATTGCTCAACATGACGTGTGACGTGTTGTGTATATTGGACATGATACACAGATATGTGTGACGTATTGGGTATACGTGACGTGTTACACGGCTAATGTATGTTGCAGGGAGATCACTGTTCTGTTGTGTATCGGAAGGTTGTATGTACCACTTTGAATCAAATACATCAAAGAATCCTAAGACAGTCTTCGTACTTACAGGATATAACAGGTAAGAATCCAATCAAACAAAATAACAGGTAATAATCCAATCAAACAAAACAGCAGGTACGAATCAAATCAAACAACATAACAGGTAAGAATCCAATCAAACAAAATAACAGGTAAGAATTCAATCAAACAAAACAGCAGGTAAGAATCAAATCAAACAAAATAACAGGTAAGAATCCAATCAAACAAAACAGCAGGTAAGAATCCAATCAAACATAATAACAGGTAAGAATCCAATCAATCAAAATAACAGGTAAGAATCCAATCAAACAATATAACAAGTAGGAATCCAATCAAACAAAATAACAGGCACAAATATTCTCACTAAAGAAGCATGAACACGGTCGAGTATGACCTATGTCTTTCATTAGGACAATTACTAGATATATAAAGGTAAATACACGTGACTGTACACGTGACTGTACCCTTAAAAGATAGGTAATTTATACAGCATGCCAAAAATAGAACACAACGCGCCACATAGCTAGTTCGTCCTTCTAGGACTCATCGAAGATACAAAGAGAAACAGGAAGTACAAATTAAGCTTGTTGATAAAAAGTGACAAAAGAACGGTAACGTTTTACTTCACCGTAACGCCATTGCGTCCGAATAGAACTCATTAAGTGTCCAAAGGTCAAAGAAAAATCGTGTTGTGTTTAGAACAAAATACCACAAAGTTATTTATTTTCAAACATAATAAGTTTCGTTATGCGGTACAGACTATTAATCAAGTAGACATTGAATGGGATCAGATAATATAACCCGTATGTTCCACCTCATTGCTTAGGGTGTTCCGGGTGGACCATCAACAGCGAGTAAACTGTTTTGAGATCCAACCACCAGTAGGAGTCAACTCTCTCAAGACGTACATGTTTTCCTGCGAAAGTGATGACGACCGACTGGTGAGTGATATTCGTGACAGATCTATAAAAAGATCTACATTTAATACAATAAGACTGTATTTACTAAGTATATGACAGTAAGTTTACTGTACGACAAAGCGTTTCCTGAAATAATCAATAGAAATATAAAGATAAGATACACATATTTGAAAATTTCGTTTATATATGAATTAATTCGGCAAGTAAACATTTTACTGATTCATATTGTCAATTCGTCCACAGATACAACAGTAGTATTATTTGAACGTCAGCAGTATTGCTCTCACAATAAAATGTCTATACATGTTGAATGACAGTGTTTAAAAACTTTTTATATTTAACCTTTTTCAAATGACTGAGATGGCAGCTTAAAGGCCAGAATCCAGATGAGCATTATGCCATGGATAAACGTACTCTATTGTTGTAGGACTGGATGAAAAGCATACACGACGCTCTGCTTGTAGCAAATCAACAACTACCTCCAGAGTAAGTACTTATAGCAAACCAACAACTACCTCCTGAGTAAGAACTTATAGCAAACTAACAACTACCTCCTGAGCAAGTACTTATAGCAAACAAACAACTACCTCCTGAGCAAGTACTTATAGCAAACAAATAACTCCCTCCTGCCTATGAAATCAGATGGATGTTATAGCAAACCAACTACTATCTCCTGAGTGAGTACTTGTAGCAAACCAACAACTACCGCCTGAGTAAGTACTTATAGAAACCAACTACTACCTCCGGAGTAAGTACGTATAGCAAACCAACAACGACTGGATGAAAAGCATACACGACGCTCTGCTTGAAGCAAATCAACAACTACCCCCAGAGTAAGAACTAAAAGCAAACCAACCACAACCTCCGCAGTAACTACATATAGCAAACCAACAACGACTGGATGAAAAGCATACACGACGCTCGGCTTGTAGCAAATCAACAACTACCTCCAGAGTAAGTACTTATAGCAACCAATAACTACCTCCTGCCGATGAAATCAGATGGATGTTATAGCAAACCAACTACTACCTCCGGAGTAAGTACGTATAGCAAACCAACAACGACTGGATGAAAAGCATACACGACGCTCTGCTTGAAGCAAATCAACAACTACCTCCAGAGTGATTACTTATAGCAAACCAAGAACTACCTCCTGAGTGATTACTTATAACAAACCAACAACTACCTCCCGAGTAAGTACTTATAGCCAACCAACAAGGTCCTCCTGAGTAAGTACTTCTAGCAAACCAACAACTACCTCGTGAGTGAGTACTTATAGCAAACCAACTACTACCTCCGGAGTAAGTACGTATAGCAAACCAACAACTGCCTCCTGAGTAAGTACTCATAGCAAACCAACAACTACCACCTGAGTAAGTACTTATACCAAACCAACAACTACCTCCAGAGTGATTACTTATAGCAAACCAATAACTACCTCCTGCCGATGAAATCAGATGGATGTTATAGCAAACCAACTACTCCCTCCTGAGTAAGTACTTATACCAAACCAACAACTACCTCCTGAGTAAGTACTTATAGCAAACCAATAACTACCTCCTGCCTATGAAATCAGATGGATGTTTAAGGTTTATTGATGCAGTGTATTTGAAAGGATTTACTAAATAAGTTTTTTTTATTCCCTGTATCAAATATCAAGTAACGTTTTTTATAATAAAATGTTCGAAATAAAGTTAATCGAATTCGTTGCATTTAATGAGGCTGAATTAAATAAGGAATAATGAATTAAAGAATCAGTCTCATTTAGCTTCCTCAGCGATTTCCAAACTTTAAATTTTAATTTATTTTTAAGTCCGAGGATATGCATGCTTTGTTTTCATTTTTCACAAAAATAAAATATTTTGGATTTCAATTTGTCAATGTAGCCTGACACGTCGGTGGATGAAATTCTCATGCTTAAGCGAATATAATAAAGATGTTCTTTTTATATCATAACAGTAGGCACATACTTATGAAGTTTGGGTACCCCGAGGTGGAAAGGTCTGTTCTGGTGGAGGCTCCGACCAGTGGCTACAGTAACATTGACGAACTACAGGAGAAGAAAACGCAGCAAGCAAAACCCAAAACCGTAGAGCGCTACAATCCGTGGGATCGTATGTATATTTCTATTACAGGGGGACGGGGTCCAGAGCCCAAGTCTCCTTCAATTCTTACTTATACCTGTATTCGCATAGACAGTCAGTGATTAGCAACTTGACGAATTTATTGATTCTAAGTTGGTTTGGTTTGGTTTGGTTTAGTATTGTTTAACGTTCTATCAGCAGCTATGGTCATTTAAGGACGGCCTCCCCTGTGTGCAAGATGCATGCGTGTAGTGTATGCGTGTGTGTTTCGGGAGGCTGCGATATGTTCGTGTTTGTCTCCTTGTGATAGCGCGGAACTGCTACCTCACTGAAACATACTGCCAAAGACACCCAGCAGAACACCCCTCCCGGTCACATTATACTGACAACGGGCGAACCAGTCGTTACACTCGAAAAACGAGGATTTTGCTGTTAATGACACAAACACACCTAAGTCTCAAACAGTTTTACCACGTTACCGTTCTTAGCCATTACATGATCGGCATCTTTATCTTTTCTAAGTTCAATAAATTATATACTGTTTATTACATGGTATTTGTTTATGTCAGCTCATTTAACTCGTCTTTAGAAGTTGTTCACAATACAATATAGTTGTTAAGCTCACTTCTCTCCATACTTGTAAGTGGTTCAAAATACTTTTTTTTTCTTATGTCATAAATCATTCATTCCATTGTTTTACTATGTACACAGCATGTAGTGCATCATTTCTATTTCAGAAGTGTTCAAGGAAAAGTCTGGTAGTAAAAAGAACAAGAAAACGGTACGTAAATATCACCATTACAATCGTTTAATTCCTAACCGGTATTGTGTTTATGTCATTACGTAAAAAGTATTTAGCGCACACTGGACATTCCATCTTCTTGATATTCTGTTTGTCTTGTCGGTTCGCTTTTTGCTGATTATTCAGCGAACTTTCTTTAAAAGCCGCACGTCACATTTCTACCTTGCAGACTGGTTTAAGGAATGTATGGAACCTTAATTAAGATAGAATTTGATTGTTTTCGCGAACGTTATCTTTGTACACGATTACGGCATGGTTTTACAAGTGGTCGGTGGGTTTTTTTCGATGAGAGTTATAAAGATGAAACTCTAGACATTGATTTAATAATAAAAAGGCACGTCATTTTGCAACCTTTATTTATATCTTAATATTAAATATAATTATACAACTTTGCATAAAAAAAAATTAATTTATAATTATACCAGTGCTTTAGATTTATCTTATTGACTATTATGAGACAATAACTGAATCTTTATGTGTATCTTGTAACCGTGTATATTGTAACATAGTATAATTACGGTGTCACTATATTTGTATCTTGTTACTGAGTTTAATTACACTGTAACTGAGTATAATTACACTGTCACTATATTTGTATCTTGTTACTGAGTATAATTACACTGTTACTGAGTATAATTACACTGTCACTGTATTTGTATCTTGTTACTGAGTATAATTACACTGTAACTGTATGTGTATCTTGTTACTGAGTATAATTACACTGTCACTGTATTTGTATCTTTTTACTGAGTATAATTACACTGTCACTATATTTGTATCTGAATACTGAGTATAATTACACTTCACTGTATTTGTATCTTGTTACTGAGTGTAATTACACTGTCACTGTATTTGTATCTGAATACTGAGTATAATTACACTGTTACTGAGTATAATTACACTGTCACTGTATTTGTATCTTGTTACTGAGTATAATTACACTGTCACTGTATTTGTATCTGAATACTGAGTATAATTACACTGTAACTGAGTATAATTACACTGTCACTGTATTTGTATCTTGTTACTGAGTATAATTACACTGTCACTGTATTTGTATCTGAATACTGAGTATAATTACACTATAACTGAGTATAATTACACTGTCACTGTATTTGTATCTTGTTACTGAGTATAATTATACCGTCACTGTATTTGTATCTGAATACTGAGTATAATTACACTGTAACTGAGTATAATTACACTGTCTCTGTATTTGTATCTTGTTACTGAGTATAATTACACTGTCACTGTATTTGTATCTGAATGCTGAGTATAATTACACTGTCACTGTATTTGTATCTTGTTACTGCGTATAATTACACTGTCACTGTATTTGTATCTGAATACTGAGTATAATTACACTGTAATTATACTCCATTACATTGTAATTATACTCAGTATTCATATACAAATACAGTGACGGTGTAATTATACTCAGTTGAGTATAATTACACTGTCTCTGTATTTGTATCTTGTCACTGAGTATAATTACACAGTCGCTGTATTTGTATCTTGTCACTGAGTATAATTACACTGTGACTGTATTTGTATCTTGTTACTGAGTATAATTACACTGTAATGGAGTATAATTACACAGTCACTGTATTTGTATCTTGTTACTGAGTATAATTACACTGTCACTGTATTTGTATCTAATTATTGACTGCATTCATACTGTCACTGTATTTGTATCTAGTAATTGACCACATTTATACTGTCACTGTGTTTGTATCTAGTAATTGACCACATTTATTCTGTCACTGTATTTGTATCTAGTAACTGACAACATTTATACTGTCACTTTATTTGTATCTAGTAACTGACAACATTTATACTGTCACTGCATTTGTATCTAGTAACTGACAACATTTATATTGTCACTGTATTTGTATCTAGTAATTGATTAAATTTATTCTGTCACTGTATTTGAATCTAGTAACTGACAACATTTATACTGTCACTGCATTTGTATCTAGTAACTGACAACATTTATACTGTCACTGTATTTGTATCTAGTAATTGATTAAATTTATACTGTCACTGTATTTGAATCTAGTAACTGACAACATTTATACTGTCACTGTATAAATTTAATCAATTACTAGATACAAATACAGTGATGGTAAAAATGTGGTCAATTCCTAGATACAAATACAGTGACAGTGTAATTATACTCAGTAACAAGATACAAATATAGTGACAGTGTAATTATACTCAGCATTCAGATACAAATAAATACAGTGACAGTGTAATTATACTCAGCATTCAGATACAAATAAATACAGTGACAGTGTAATTATACTCAGTAACAAGATACAAATATAGTGACAGTGTAATTATACTCAGTTACAGTGTAATTAGATACAAATACAGTGACAATATAAATGTTGTCAGTTACTAGATACAAATAAAGTGACAGTATAAATGTTGTCAGTTGCTAGATACAAATACAGTGATGGTAACTGACAACATTTATACTGTCATTGTATTTGTATCTAGTAATTGATTAAATTTATACTGTCACTGTATTTGAATCTAGTAACTGACAACATTTATTCTGTCACTGTGTTTGTATCTAGTAATTGACCACATTTATTCTGTCACTGTGTTTGTATCTAGTAACTGACAACATTTATACTGTCACTGTATTGAAGACAATTATACCGATACTATAGTTGTTGCGTTTTTCCAGAAGCAGTCGGAGGAGCCTAAAGAGGGAGGTGAAGAACACGTGTATATGAATGAGGTCAGTCTTTATATGAATGAGGTCAGTCATGTGAACTTCTTTAAAATAAACATCTGGCAAACACTTCCTCATACCAAAAAGCAGAACACTTTATTGTTTTGTTTTGCAGTTGTTGAGTTTATACATCATACTGCAAGTATATGTCAAAGTTAGCAGCTTCAACAACTTAACAAGGAATCATACTTGACTTTCTTTATCTCTTGAAAGTATATTGAGTAAGACCAATGATAAGTACAGATTTAAATTACCTTTTAAACTTTTCTAATCGTATGGAACGCATCTGAATTCAGCATATCCCACGGTGCGCAGTAGGACATATATTATTATATGTACGAACAAAACCACAGTGTATTGGGAAACCATCATTTTCAATTCGTATATTTACGTTTGTTTCATTTTATGGCCCTTTTTAAATATACTATAGTGGAACAATCATTTTCGCACAAGCAGGGTCGTGTTTGCTATGGTTACTGTTTGTGCTAGGAGACAAAAGTCAATCTAATAGTATTTAGTAGGTTTCTTCCTAATTTGAATAAGAATGTTTCAATTCACATGGACATACTAACTAGATTCATTGTCTATCTTTATAGACTAAAACCTACTGTATCAGTTAGTTTAACATGTTAAATATTTATACACTATCTGAAAAGGAAAACCGAAGATTATACATGAATCAACTTGGGAAATTAGAGGCAGGACAGCAGGATCAGGGAGAAGAAGAAGAAGAAGAAGAGGAGGAGGAGGAGCAGGAGGTAGAAGAGGTAAGATGGACACATTTTACGTCGAAATGGAGTGGATTATATGGGCTATTTTTTATCAAACAAAATTACTAAATAAGGTCGTGTTGTGTTTGAATACAAGATCGAACATATGAAGGAAACTGACTGTGATGTACAACGAAATAGAACAAGGTTATTACTACGGGTCATCGACTACGTATATACTGTGTATAATGAGCAGTGTCTGTTTGATGATTTTACTTGATAACAATTGTGTCACGTTATGAACTACCAGTTTGATGATTTTAATTGATAACAATTGTGTCACGTTATAGGACTACCTGTTTGATGATTTTACTTGATAACAATTGTGTCACGTTATACGACTACCTGTTTGATTATTTTACTTGATAACAGTTATGTCTCTTTATAGGACTACCTGTTTGATTATTTTACTTGATAACAGTTATGTCTCTTTATAGGACTACCTGTTTGATTATTTTACTTGATAATAATTGTGTCACGTTATAGGACTACATGTTTGATTAATTTACTTGATAACACTTGTGTCACGTTATACGCCTACCTGTTTGATGATTTTACTTGATAACACTTGTGTCCCGTTATAGGACTACCAGTTTGATGATTTTAATTTAATAACAATTGTGTCACGTTATAGGACTACCTGTTTGATGATTTTAATTGATAACACTTGTGTCACGTTATACGACTACCTGTTTGATGATTTTACTTGATAACAATTGTGTCACGTTATGAACTACCAGTTTGATAATTTTAATTGATAACAATTGTGTCACGTTATAGGCCTCCCAGTTTGATGATTTTAATTGATAACAATTGTGTCACGTTATAGACTACCAGTTTGATGATTTTAATTTAATAACAAATGTGTCACGTTATACGACTACCTGTTTGATGATTTTACTTGATAACAATTGTGTCACGTTATACGACTACCAGTTTGATTATTTTACTTGATAACACTTGTGTCACGTTATACGACTACCTGTTTGATTATTTTACTTGATAATAATTGTGTCACGTTATACGACTACCTGTTTGATGATTTTACTTGATAACATTTGTGTCACGTTATACGACTACCTGTTTGATGATTTTACTTGATAACACTTGTGTCACGTTATACGACTACCTGTTTGAT